CAAAAGGACAGCAACTTGTCTGTTCCCCTTCCCCCAATTCCCCAGCACTGTTCCCATCCCCCAATTCCCCAATAAAAATCTTTTTAAAAAATAAAAATAAAAACAAAAAACCTAAGTGAGCTTTCTTGCTGTTGCCGCTAGGAGAGTGGATAATAGGTAATGAAAACCAACAAACCATTTTTCATCTCTGAGAGAGTGTCAGCTATAGGAAAGCCAGTAAAACATGCTCTGCATGAGCCAAAACCACAGCAGACACACCCCATTATTCATCTGACCCAAATTATCACACACCCCCACTCTGCAGTAACAAAAACAGTCAGTACAAATAAACCCCACTAGTGTCAAACCACAGACCACTGCAATGGGCGGGGGGCTGACACGGAGCCCAGTTTTAATTTCTGTTTCCAGCAGTGTCAGATTCTGCACTAACGTAGGGTCTTCAATATAGACATCGCCATCCGGTTTTTCAACACCTCATGATCCAAGCCCTTTGCTTCTCCCACTAATCGTTAGCGTTTTCATTCATCTCCAACATGAGTTGAACAAGGGCATGGAGAGCAATGAAGGTGCAACTAGACTGTTTCACTCCTCGCTTCTCTTGGCAAACGGTTCGTGGTTCAGTGACGGAGGAAGGAGTGCAGCACAGCAATGGGAACGGCACGCGAGAGGAGGGCGATGTTCCGATCCCAGGCTTCAATGCCGACTAGCTCTGTGACTTTGGCAAGTCACTTGCTTTTTCTCAGCCTTGGATTTCTCATCTGTGAACTAAGGGAGTTGGATTAGATCATCTTTAATATCCTTTCCAGTTCTAAAATTCCAGGATTCCATCAGGTTTTAACTGTTGAAGGAAAAAGGAATTGAGAGGGAAGGGTGCTGGTCTGCTTGTTTTTATTTTAAATGGTATGTGGGTTTAATTATGCAAGTATTCTCTGGCCTCTTGTAACTGCAGATCAAAAAGGTGACTGAACTAGCCAGGGACTCTGAGGGACCTACAGTGCAGGTTTAGGAGTTCTCTAAAGAAGAGATGAAAACTACAGACAGCAGGAGGAAGGAAGAAAACCTGTTTCAGAGCTGGAGCAGCTGCCTCACTGACAGTTAAAGGACTTCTGAGTTAATCAGGTTTTCTTTGTAATTAATATAACAGCATCTGCATATGGGGTGCCAGAAGGTAACAGCTTGGTTCCTCAGCTGGAGCACATTAACCCTGCCAACTCTGGCTGCAGGAAAAGTCAACTCAAATTGTCTGAAGTGCAAGCCAAAGCTTTTTTTTCTCAGTGGTTCTTAAATACAGATTATCTTGACTGCGGTTACAGCTGACCCTTCAGCAATGTTGGGATGAGGGTCTCCAACCACCCGTGCATCTGAAAATCTGCGTGTAACTTAAGCACGCACAGGTTTCCAACTGCCAGTTGAGTCTTGAACAACGTGGGTTTCAACTATGAGGGTCAAAGGAACTGCGTGGGTCAATTGAAAAAAAAAAAGCCTGTAAGCAGACTCATGCAATTCAAACCCAATTTGTTCAAGGCTCAACTGTACTTTTTTTTAAGATTTTATTGGGGAGTTGGGGAAGGGGAACAGTGTTGGGATTGGAAAAGGGGAACAGCCAAGTTGCTGTCCTTAAATCTTAGTTGTGGAGGGCGCAGCTAGCTCAGCTCCAAGTCCAATCGCCATCCGGCCGCCAGTCAGCAGCTCACGGCCGCTCAGCTCAAGGTGCTGTGTTCAATTTTAGCTGCAAGGGGAGGGGGGGGCGCACAGCCCACCATCCCATGCCCCACGCGGGAGTCTAACCACCAGCAACCTTGTTGTTAGGAGCACGTGCTCTCACCAGCTGAGCCATCCTGCCACCTGTTGACAGCTCAGCTCACTGGCCCATGTGAGAATCGAGCTGGTGAACCTGTTGCTAAGAGCTCGCGCTCTTAACCAACTGAGGCACTCAGCTGGCCCCCTCAACTGTACTTCTAAACAAAGGTTTCAAACCAGGAGAAGAGCAAGTAAAGTAGCAACCTACTTGGTTTATTTGCTTCACATAATAAAGGGGAGAAAAATATACTACCCCAATACCCTTTTGTAAGAAATATTTGTAGGACTGGCC